AGAGCAGCAGCAGCAGCAGCAGCAGCAGCAGCTACCTATTCCGAAGCTAGGTAGAAAAGCAATTCCTTTTGCTTCGGGGGGTACGAATACCATTGGGCCGAGCGAAGTACCCCCAGCAAACCCGCATAATAAAGAAGCAATGCTGCCGCTGCAGCGTCTCTGTCTCTGGCTTCTTGCTGCTGCTGCTGCTGCTTCTTCTTCGTCTTGTGCTGCTGCTTCTGCTGCTGCTGCTGCTGATGATGATGATGATAGTGCTGCTGCTGCTGTCGGTGTCGATGGGCGATCTTCGTGCTGCTGCCGTGAAGTTGAAACACCCACAGTGCTGCTGCTGCTGCTGTTTCTGCGGCTGCTGCTGCTGCTGCTGCTGCTGCTGTTGCTGTTGCTGTTGGGGAGCAGCGGGGCTGATGCTGCATGCGCTGCAGCAGCTTTTTCGTTAGGGCTTTCTAACACATTTCCCTCTGATGTTGCTGTTGAAGCAGCAGCAGATAAATCGATGGTGGTATACCGACCAGCGAAACGAGAACAAACTGCAGCAGCAGCAGCAGCAACAGCAGCAGCAAAAAATGCGAAGGATAACAGCCGCCACAACACACAACAGCAGCAGCAACAGCAGCAGCAGCAACAGCAGCAGCATTACCACCATATAAAAGATAAACGCCAGCAGCAGCAGCAGTAGCAACACCAGCAGCCTGTGCATCAGCAGCATGCGCAGCAGCAGCAGAATGCACAGCAGCAGCAGAGGGCGCAGCAGCAACAGCAGCAGGGAGTGCAGCAGGAGCAGCAGCAACAAGCGCAGCAGCAGGAGCAGCAAGAGCAGCAGCAAGTGCAGCAGGAGGAAGAAAGTGTGGTTGTTTACGTTGTGAGAATTTGTTTTGTAGGGAGTCAACTGCAGCAGCAGCTTCTTTGTTGAGTGCAGCAGCAGCAGCCCCCAAGACAATGAGAGCAACAGCAGCAGCATCAGCAGCAAAGAATAGTACTTTATCGTTATTAATAGAGACACCCCACAAGAAAGAAGTTATAGCAGCAACACTCATCGAACTTGCTGCGTTAAGAGCAAGCCCTAAGTATTTAACCCCGTATAAACCCAGCAGCAAAGCAAACAGCACCAGAAACCCTGCAGCAGCAAATGCAGCAGCAGCAGCAGCAGCAGCAGTAGGTGCAGCAGCAGCAGATGCAGCAGGTGCAGCAGCAGCAGATGCAGCAGCAGCAGCACAGGCAACACACACACACACAGACACAAAAACATAAATGCAGCAGAAGATGAAGCAGCAACTGCAGCAGCAACTGCAGCAGCAACTGCAGCAGCAACTGCAGCAGCAACTGCAGCAGAAACAACAGATAAGCTTGCGTCTGTATAGGGTTTAAGGGTTTCCCTCGTCTTAAAGCTTCAAGTTTAGGGTTTGCTTAGGGTTTAGGGTTTAGAGCTTCACGTTAGGGTTTAGGGTTTAGGGTTTTTATTACTTAATGGAATCCCCCAGCGTCTGCCTAGGGTGTACCCTTTAGGGTTTAGGGTTTAGAGTATAGATATAAGGGTTTAGGGTTTAGGGTTTAGAGCATAGATATAAGGGTGTAGGGTTTAGAGTATAGATATATAAGGGTTTAGGGTTTAGAATATAGATAAAAGGGTTTAGGGTTTAGGGTTTGGAGCATAGATATAAGGGTGTAGGGTTTAGAGTATAGATATAAGGGTTTAGGGCATAGATATAAGGGTTTAGGGTTTAGGGTTTGAAGTATAGATATAAGGGTTTAGGGTTTAGAGTATAGATATAAGGGTGTAGAGTTTAGAGTATAGATATAAGGGTTTAGGGTTTAGGGTTTAGGGTTTAGATTACCTGAGAGTGCTCCCCACCAAGTGAAGATAAAGCGGGTGCCGACTAAAGGGCTGTGCATTAGGGTTTTATTATACGGAAGAAGACAAACAGACAAAAAGCAAAAGAATGAGAAGCCCAAAGATATATAAAACACATACACCTCTTCAGATATATCTTCAGACAAGTTGCGCAATGCCCCGAGCTTGCGAGGTACTTGATAAGACCCTAATAAATAAATAAACAAATAAATAAATAAATAAATAAATAAATAAATAAACAAATAGATAAACAAATAAATAGATAAACAAATAAATAAATATGTATATAAAATAAAATAAAATAGACATAAATAAATAATTTTCATCGTAGTTTAATTAACATCTGCAGCATCTACAAACAACCCTGCCTTTATGGGGCCCCTGAGAGTACCTTGGGGGGCCCCTGAAGTACCCTGGGGGCCCCCTAGAGTACCCTGGGGGCCCCCTAGAGTACACTGGGGGCCCCCTAGAGTACCCGGGGGCCCCCGAGGGCATCCTGAGAGGCCCCAAAGTACCTTTAAAGTACCCTGGGTGCCCTCAAGTGTACCCTTAGGGGCCCCTAGGGTACAAGAGGGGGCCCCCTATTGTACCCTGGGGGCCCCTAAGGGTACCCTAAGGGGCCCCCATTGTACCCTAGGGGCCCGTAGGGGTACCTTGGGGGCCCCTAGGAGTACCTTAGGGGCCCTTAGGGTACAAGAGGGGGCCCCCTACTGTACCCTGGGGGCCCCCTATGGTACCCTTAGGATAAGCTGAGGGCCCAGGGAGACCTTGGGGGCCCCTAAGGGTTGGTTTGCAACGAATTTCGTCAGCGGTTTAGGGTTTAGGGTTTAGGGTTTAGGGTTTAGAATTTAGAGATTCTGCGTTTACCTGTGAAGAAGGCAGCCAAGAAGGCGAAGACGAGGCCGAGGCACTTCTGTTCATCCATTGGCGGTGTAGGGTTTAGGGTTTAGGGTTTAGGGTTTGTCTCTAAAGGTGCAAAGATTGACCCGTAGGATTTGTTCCTTCAAGTAAAAAGAATCCGTCACTGAAGATTAGGGTTTAGGGTTTAGGGTTTTGGGGTTTAGGGTTTAGGGTTTGAGGTCTTTCGGCGGCGGTCTAGTGGTCCCCTGCGGGGGTTTAGGGTTTAGGGTTTAGGGTTTGCAGCGTAGGGTTTGTTTTTTATGTTTTCACGTTTTGGATTTGAGCAAAATGAGAAAATCTAATAGACAACAAGAGCTTATATAAACCCTAAACCCTAAACCCTAAACCCTAAACCCTAGGCCCGACCGCCGCTCAGCGAGGTCCTCTGGCTGGGGCTTCATGCGCTGCAGTTTGTGGGTCGCGAAAAAAATAAATAAAAATAAATGTTTAAAATATATAAATGTTTATTTTATTATTCTTAACTCAAATATATACACAAAACCCTCAGACACGCTCGCTGCTGCGCCGCCTGCTGCTGCTGCTCTGGACCCTGCTGCTGCTGCTGCTGTTGCTGTTGTAGCTGCTCGCTCCGCTGCTGCTGCTGTTGCTGTTGTAGCTGCTCGCTCCGCTGCTGCTGCTCCTGCTGCTCCTGCTGCTGCTGCTACTCATTCGTGTGTGCGGTTGCTACAGATACTGCTGACGCTTGTGGTGCTGCTCATGTTGCTGCTGCTCCTGCTGCTCCTGCTGCTCCTGCTGCTGCTGCTTACTAGTCTCTAAGCCCAGTGTGGAGTGCCGCTGCTAATGCTGCTACTTCTGCTGCTGGCTCTGCTGCTGCTGCTTCTGCTGCCGGCTCTGCTGCTGCTGCCAACATTATTGGTGGGTATGCCGTGCCTTAGGGTGCTGTTGCTGCTGCTTCTGCTGCTGTTGCTGCTGCTGTTGCTGCTGCTGTTGGTCTGCACCGGCAGCAGCAGCAGCAAGAGCAAACGCAGCAGCAACGGCAGCATCTTCAGCAGCACCAACGGCAGCAGTTTTAGCAGCAACAGCAGCAAAGACAGCAACAGCAGCAGCAACGGGCGCAGCAACAGCAGCAGCAACAGCAGCAGCAACAACAACAGCAACAGCAGCTATAGTTCGGGGCAACGAGTAGAAAGTAAACAGAAAGTATAGAGTGGCAAGAAAAGGTGCTGCCGCTGGAGCAGCAGCTGCAGCAGCTGCAGCAGCTGCAGCAGCAGCAGCAATTGCATGCGCATCAAGCGCAGCAAGAGCTTTTTGTTTGCTGCTTCATTTGTTTGCTGCTGCATTTGGTGGATCTGCTGCTACCCATTTGTTCCGAATTCGCTGCAGTGCTGCGAGAGTAGCAGCACACTGCAGATCCACCCCTTTTGCTGCTGCTGCTGCTGCTGCTGCTGCAGCTGTTGCTGTTGCTGCAGCTGCTGCTGCTGCGGTCGACGCCATTGCAGAGCCCGATGCTTCATCCACAGGAACGAAGGCGCCAACTAATACCCTGCTGCTGCTGTTGCTGCTGCTGCTGCTGCTGCTGTTGCTGCTGCTGCTGCTCATTTGCTGCTGCACTTCTAGTGTCTGCTTGTAGATCAAGGGAGAAATGCCGCTGGAAGCCTCTTGCTGCTGCAGCTGAGCTTCCTTTCTCGCGGAACTAGCTGCTGCTGCTGCAGCATCTGCTGCAGCAGCAGCAGCAGCAGCAAGGCGCAAGTGCCGCAGCACGCATGGTGGGAGGGGGGCCCCCTGCTGCTGCAGCGCAGCAGCAAAACACAAAATTGTGTCGTTAAGGGCCCCACGGCAGGCTGATGGCTGCAGCGCGATGCAGCAGCAGCAACAACAGCAGCTGCTGCACTTGCTGCTGCTGCTGCCACTGCTGCTGTCAGCAAAATACGGGGCGGCAGCAAATTCGTTTGCGCTGCAGCAGCAGTTACTGTCGTCGCAGCAGGAGAGCGCTGCTGTGGCTGCTCCCCCTTGCTGCTGCTGCTGCTGCTGCTGCTGCCGCTGCTGCTGCTGCTGCATGCAGCAATCAGGCACTGATAGGGGGCTCAAGTCTTCACTGTCTGATGATGCTGGTGCTGCTTCTTGCTGCAGCAGCTGCAGCAGCAAGGGAATCCGATTGTTGCTGCTGCCATAGGGCCCCACCAGAGGTGAGGCCGTTGCTGCTGCTGGTGCTTCTGCTTCTGCTGCTGCTGCTGCTGTTGCTGCTGCAGTTTGCTGCTGGGGGCTAAGAGGAAGGGGCCCTTCGTGCGAAGGGGGGCTCCCAGCAGTGGTGTCGTCAGCCTCCAGTTGCTGCTGCTGCTGCTGCTGCTGCTGCTGCAGAACTAAGCCTTGCTGCTGCTCCTCCTCCTGCTGCTGCAGAATATACTGTTGCTGCTCCAGCAGCTGCTGCTGCCTCTGCAGCAGCGCGTGGTGGTGCCTTAGTATGTCGTGCTGCAGCTCTCTCTGCAGCAGCAAGTCTTGCTGCAGCAGCAGCTGTCTCCTAGCAGCAGCAACGCGATGCTTTCGTCTCTCTTTCAATGTGCTGCTGCGCACCTGAGGTGCTGCTGCTGCTTCTACCAGCAGCAGCAGCAGCTGCTGCTCCGGGGGCCGCCGGTCGCATGATTGTGGAAGCAAACGCAAGCAGCTGCAGCACTGCATCAAGCAGTCAACAGCAGCAGCAACAAGCTGCTGCCTCTGCATCCTTTTGCTGCTGCTGTTGCTGCTGCTGTTGTTGTTGCTGCTGCTGCTGATGTCGCAGCAAGGCCAGAGAACTTCATCTGCAGGATCTGCTGCTGCTGCTGTCGCTGAGATTTCTACTGCTGCTGCTGCTGTTTCTGCTGCTGCTGCTGATGGAGGGACATCTTCGAGTGTACATCTTGCAAGGCCAGCAGCAAGAGCTGCAGCACACTGCAGCAGCACTTGCTGCAGCTGCTGCTCTTGCTGCTGCTGTTCTACCTGCGGCTGCTGCTGCTGCTGCTGCTGCTGCTGCTGCAGTCGCTTCAGCAGCGGCGGCAGCAAGTGCTGCTGCAGCAAATGAAGCAGCGCTGCGGTGTATTGCATCTCCAAGGCCCCCAGCAGCAGCAGCCACAGCCACGGGGGCCCACCTGCAAATGCCGCTAGCTGCTGAGCTGCTGCAGCTGTTGCTGCTGCTGCTGCTGCTGCTTCTGCTGCTGCTGGTGTCACTGTGTTGGTAGGGGATTGCTGCTTGTGTGTTGTTGGTGTTGCTGCTGCTGCTGCTGCTGAAAGGAGACAGTGCTTCAAATGCATCAGAGACAGAGAAGAGCTAATCAGATCTATGGGTGAAGCGCGAGCACGCACAACACTGCCGCTGCTGCTGCTGTTGCTGCTGCTGCTGCTGCTGCTGCTGCTTGGATTGCGCTGGGTGCTGCACTCCGAGCTGCAGAGGCGGGGATGCAGTAGCAAACTGTCGTTGTTAGTGCTGGTGTTGCTGCTGCTGCTGTTGTTGCTGCTGCTGCTGCTGTTGCTGCTGCTAGGGGAAGCAGCAAGGCAGCAGCGCGCATGCTGCACCGGCCTCAGCTCAACAGGTCTTCTACTGCTGACACTGCGGTGTACAAGCAGCTGGGTTGCTGCTGCAGCAACATGCAGCAGCAGCTGCTGCTGCTGCAGCGGGAAGAATTGTAGCCGCTGCAGCAGCTGCGAAGAGTAGAGACACAAAAGGCTGAGTGCTGCAGGAGAAAGACGGAGGATCTTACTCTTGCTGCTGCTGCTGCTGTTGCTGCTGCTGCTGTTGCTGCTGATGCTGCTGCTGCTGCTGATGCTGCTGCTGCTGATGCTGTTGCTGCAAAGGTCGACTAGGAGACAATCAAGGTCCGTAGGCTCGTCAGAGACGCAGGAGCTGCAGCAGCAGCAGCAGTTGCTGCTGCTGCTGCTGCCGCTGCTGCCGCTCTGTGTTGCTGCAACCAGCCAATGTAAAACAGCAAGAGGAGAGAAAAATCGGCCTGCTGCTGCTGCGAGGAGCGCTGCAAGAGCACCAGGAGCATCATCATCAACAGCAGCTGCTGCTGCAACAGCAGCAGCAGCAGCAGCAACACCAGCTGCTGCTTCTTGCCGCTGCTGTAAAGGCCAGCAAATAAGGCCTGCTGCTTGCAGAGTAGGCTCAAGTGGTTGCTGCTGGTGCTGCTGCAGCAGCAGCAGCAACTGCTGCTTCTTATGCTCTGGCTTCCGCTGCTGCAGCAGCCACAGAGGAGGAGCAGCAGCTGCAGCTCGTACAGGCAGCAGCAGCATATCCTGCTGCTGCTGCTGCTGCTGCTGCATTTGCTGCACCGCCATCATCACTGTCTCTTCAAATACCTTATTAAGAGAAAAGGCGGTGCCCCAGAACACCTTCCCTGCTGCTGCTGCTGCTGCTGCTGCTTCAGGATAGAAGAATCTGCTCCTACGGAGCGCTGCAGCAGCAGCAGCAAACAGCCGCAGCAGCAACGCCGTCAGCTGCTGCCAGCCTCTATATGCAGCAACAACAAACACCATCTCGAGCAGCTCGCAGTACACCTCAAGGGCTCGCACTGTCTTGTGCTGCTGCTGCTGCTGCTGCTGCTGCTGCTGCTGCTGCTGCTGCTGCTGCTGCTGCTGC